TAATTAGCTTCGGTATATTTATGCTTTGTAATTATAGGCTGTGAGGCACAGCATTAAATATATTTTAAATAGGAACACTTAATAGATCATATTTAACATACGAGCTCCACGTGACAATGGATCATAGGACGGGAACAGCCCCTGCGCTTACATCCTCTCCTGTCTTCCTCTCCCCTTCTTCCAGGCTCTTCCCTCAGTCAATGAAGGGTGGTTATTAATATTTTTTACTTTGTGGTAAGAAACAGTTCTTATGCATCATATATCCTACTTGATAGCTTATAGTAAAACCCTAACCTCTGTTTTCCAAATTTCATTTTGTATATTTAAAGGGAAGCCTTTCTAATTTAGAAACTGCTTTTCTCTCTCAGGTGTCTGGCTCTAGAAATTTAAAGCCAAGTTCTGAGGGCCATTGTTTCTGAAATAGTTTTCAAGATTAGTTTTAAAAATTAAAAAGTTTTATGCCAATTATTTTTACATCTTCACATTCTGCAATCCCATCTCTAAGGCAAAGATTTTTTTTTTTTTCTGGCTCAGTCTGGTAAGGATCATTTATAAATAAGTACATTTGAAAATATTTTTTCACTTCATACACTTAATGAAGTAATAAAAAGTCTAGAAAAGTCATAATAGGGTAGGAATATGTGTAGTTGAGTCTCAGACAAGGTCTTAAAATGTGTAATTTCATCATGAAAATGAAATGATATCAGCTAAATAAAGTGATATTCCAAGTGACATTCTAATTTTTTGTATTCATACTTTGATGGACTAGTATGGGTACATCCTAAATGAACTTTGTGATATAAAATTAGGGTTGCATCTTTATTTTTTATTTGATTGTTTGCAGGAGAGTAACACTATTCCACACAGTTGGTTCATTTCATCCTTTTACACGAATTAGGCATCTCTTCTTGTAAGGCTAGGCATACAAGGTCTGTCCAGAAAGTATCCAGCCATTGTTAATGTAAGAAGAATGGTTTGCGGGGTATCGATGTAATCTGGTGATCAAGGAGAGTGGACTGTCGTGTGTGTGTGAACAATGACGACCTCACTGTACTGGTCAGTGGGGCTCCAGATGCCCGTGAGTGAGCATGTGTACTGTTGCATTCAAAATAACTGAGCAAGTAGAACAATGAATCTGCATCAAGTTTTGCATTAAGCTTGAATATTCCTCCGTGGAAGCTTATCAGATGATTCAGGAGGCTTTTGGGGACAACGCAATGAGTGCAGCGCAAATAAAAGTGTGGTACAAACACTTCAAAGATGGTTGAGAACCTGTTGAAAGTGGTCCACGTCTGGAAGGCCTGCAACAAGCAGAACACCTGAGAATGTTGAACATGTAAGGGCTGCAATCAACAAAGATCAGCGTTGGGCAGTGTAAAACCTTGAAGCTGATGTGGGGATTCCAAAAACTGTGTCCGAGAGTTTGACACAGGATCTTGGCATAAAATGTGTGGTGGCAAAATACATTCCACAGCTTCTGCTAGCAGAGCAGGAACTTCGTGCTGCATTTGTGAATGACATGCTTCAGATTGCTACTAATGAACCACATTTCCTCAAGGTCATAACCAGAGATGAATGTGAGTCTATGGCTATATCCAGAAACGAAGGCCTGGCCCTCCCAATGGAAGTCGCCTGGTTCTCCTCACTGGAAGAAGGAGGGGCAAAGTCGCAGGAAGATCAGGCCCACATTAACTATGTGTTTTGACTGGGAAAGTGTTGTCCATCACGAGTACGCTCCCCCAGGACAATTAATACGTAGTACTACCTCAGTGTTCTTCATTGGTTGAGAGAGGCAATGCGGCGAGAAGGGTGACAGCTATGGGCAGCAGGTGATTGGCAGATTCATCACCACAATGCACCCACCCACCCATGCATCACATCGCGTGCAGAGTTTTTTGGCAAAACATCAAATCGCCCTGATGACTCAGCCCCTCTACAGCCCAGATTTGGTGCCCTACGACTTCAAGCTTTTCCCCAAACTAAAATCACCTTTGAAAGGGAAGAGATTTCAGACTGTCAGTGACATTCAGGAAAATATGATGAGGCAGCTGATAGGGCGATTCCAACACAGGATTTTTCAGGGTGTTTTGAACAGTAGGAGAGATGCTGGGAGAACCGTGTGAGGTCCCAAGGTGCCTACTTTGAAGGGAACTGAGGCGTCATTGTCCTATGTACAATGTCTCTTGTATCTTCTTCAGTACATGTCTCCATTTTTCATATTAAGTGGCTGGATACTTTCCCGGCAGACCTTGTCCTATTCCTCACCGAGCTTGATGAGTGGATCCTCCCTGCATCCTGCTCTGCAGGGCCCAGCTGAGGGCATCTGGTGTGATTTTATCCCTAGGATTGTAATCAAGGGATATAGAAATAAATTTGTTCTTGACTATAGTGCAATGAAATAATAAAGTAAAATTTATTCAATGTGAATGTCATCAGTTGCAAATTACATGTCCTTTTGAGATTGGGGTTGGTGAAGTTTCCATTTCCTTTAAATTATTCAGTGAGAGGGAACATTTAGGAAATTTTTTTCTTAGTATTTTGGGAAAAGAACTATAACCTAGTAAGAAAATGAAAAAAAAAAAA